CTGTACCCAGAAGTCATACTGACCTCCTAAGGCTGATCAGACTATCCAGGCCCCAGCAAGGGTAGCTTTACTAAGGCCAGCACCACAGAGGACCAGGCTTTGTTCCTCTATCCCTCCTGGTAAAGGCAAGCTGTGTCCTCTTCAGAATCACCCAGGTAAATTTAAAATCTCTGAAGTTCAAAGATATTCACTGTGTGTTCTGACATTTCTCAGGTGGTGCTTCAAAAGCCCTGGCTTCTAGAGGCACAGTGGGCATCATTCCCCGCTGAAGTAGGACACCTTTCCTCATCCACTTCTGTCACATTGCTACACAGCAGCAAGCCAAAGGTGCCAAGGCTCTGAACTCAGGTTGGTTTTTCATCTTTTTCTTGTGTGTGAGTAATGCCCGAGTTGATAGTCCTGTGAATCCACATTGATTCTGTCTCCTTGGGGTTCCACAGAATCAAAGAGTTTTATCCTAAATTGAGAGTCTGCTCTCCTTGCATCTTCTTGGATCTCTCCTCTTCGAAATGACTGACATCAGAGCCACCTCTCCTAGGTAGTGTGCCTGTGGCTCTGAGGAAGCCATGTGGCCAGGCCATTCCTGTGACAGACTAACAACGGTTTGCTGCTGCTCCTGGTACCCAAACTTCAGTAACAACAGAACTGACGACCTTCAGGCAGCCGACACTCACGACCCCTATACCATGTGCAAGGCACCTTTCTAAACACTTAACATACATATTAATTCATCTAGTCTTCACAACAACCTTATGAGGCAGACACTATTAATGTGCACATTTTACAAATAAAGACACTGAAGCTTAGGATGGCCAGCAACCCTCCCAAATACCCCAGAGGTTCCTATTAAAGAGAAGACTCAAATGCAGACTCCCTGGCTCCACAGCCTACTGCCTTCACCACCATACTGACCCATCAGTCCTGCTACCAGGCTTGTGGTGAAAGCGTGAATGTCTTCCAATGTGAGCCTGACACAGATTTCATATTTGCTTATATCTGATTTTGTCTGCCAGAAACACTAGGTGAACATAGAAAACTGCACCAGGCTGACCTTAGTGGCCTAGGAGGATATATACACATGTGCACGCACATGCACAAACAGACACACACATATACACACACACACTCTCTCTCTCTCTCTCTCTCCAAATATGTCCAAGCTACCTCAGTCATACCAGTTATGAGCCACACCCATCTGGTATTGCAGCTTTCCCTCCTTCCAGCACTTCACAGTAACTTGCTGTCACCCTTCTGAAATTGTTATGGACTGAACTGTGTGCCCCAGAATTCATCTGTTGAATCCCTACCTCCCAGTGTGATGTCTTGGGAGATGAGGCCTTTAATAAGGTAATTCAGGTTAAATTAGGTCATAAGGGTAGGACTCTATTCCAGTATGATTTGTGTCCTTATTCTTATAGAGGCAGAAACACCAGGGATGTGCACACACAGCGGAAAGCCCAGGGAGAGGCCCCTGGAGAAACCAAGCCTATGACACCTGGGACTTTCAGCCTCCAGAACTATGAGAAAATACATTTCTGTTAAGCCATCCAGTCTGTGGTATTTTCTTAAGACAGCCTGAGCTAACACAGCAACACCCACTACAAGTTTGTCTATTTGTTTGAAATAGACAAACTTCAGGTCTATTTCAAGGTAAAGTGCCATATTTATTATAGTAGTTATGTATTTCTTAACCATTTAATGTATATAAAACCACTCCTGTTTTTATTAGGTTCCTAGTTTATTTTCAATGTGTCACTGATGAAGTTTTCGAGTGTTGTGTCCCTAAACCCATTCTTCTCACAAATCCTATGTTATTTTGTTTTCTTGTGCAATTTTGCATGGTATAGCCATTTTTAGGAACACATCTCTCACGAGACAGCACAAGTGACTGTACTATTGCCCACAGGTTAATTACTTACAGATCCTAGAGATGAAGCATAAAACATAACCTTTCTACAGCTATCCTCAGGTTCCCTGATGAGGCAGGTTCTATTAACATTTCAAGAAGGGCAGGTACCAACTACAGATAGAATGATTGTAAGTATTGGTGTGGGCACATGTATAAGATATGACACTGTATAAACAGTAAATGATAATGGATTTATTTCTAGATGGTAGGCTTTGAAGTCTTTCCCCCCACAATTCTGTATGAACATTATGTAGACTTTTATCAATCCTCTACAATCAAAATCAATTATAAGGATTTGCATAATTCTACTCTAAATCAGAAACAAATAACAACTTTTAAAATAGATTAAACAACAACAAAAAATAGTATATAGGTTCAAATAATAACAGACATGGTTACATAATAATATGAGGCCTTAATAAATTCAGTTATTCCTCTACATTCTGTCTTGCCACCATCCAATTCCATATTGGACAAAATGATTGGAAAAATATTATTTTTAAAAGCCTTTAGAAATTTAGGCCTTAAAGAAAAACTGACTAGTCAAATGTAGGCAGAGCACAGCAGTAGCTAATGTGCAGCCAGCCTGACCAAGGTATGCCCTGTCTTATATTTTTAGCAAAAATCTGTTTTCCTTAATTAGCCAGCACACATGCATTAGGGGCCTAGCCATATGCCATCAAGAAATGTGTGAAGCTTGCTCTAAATGGAAAACCTGAGTTCGCCGGCCACAGATGGTAGGTCTAGAATAGAAAAAGGGGGCAAGGTTTCAAAGATATTTTTGAGGCAAAAGAGCAGGCTGTCCATAGTCCAGTTCATCAATCTTCAGAATTTCTGTAATGAAAGCAATGCCTCCTTAAGGATACTAAAAAGGGTGCTTTGAAGAGTGCCTGGCTAGGCTAAATGAAACCGCACATCATCAAGGCACCATATCCCAGGAATACTGGAGATAGGCATACCAATTACAGAACTATTCCAGTTTTTCTATTAAATGGCAAAACTCTGAGAAATGGATGACTGTGCCTAGCACTAGGAGACTACATTCTCTTCCTTGAAACTCTGAAAGAACCACAAACAGTATTGTAACGCTAAAGCAGGGTTCTGCAAACTATGGCTAGAAGGCCAAATCCACCCTGCCATCTGTTTTTGTCTGGCCCATGGATTAAGAATAGCTTTTATTTTTTGTAATGTATTTTTTAAAGAATAATACTTTATGACACATGAAAACGACATATTCAGATTTCAGTACCCATAAATATACTTTTACTGGAACACAGCCACACACATTTGCATCATCTCTGGCTGCTTTTACGCTGCAGCAGAGTTGTAATTGCAACAAAGTCCATATGATCTAAAATATTTATTTTTCTGGCCATTTATAGGAAAAGTTGGCTGACCTCTGTCCCAAAGCTAAAACTGACCTGAATACAACCCACAGATATAAAACTGTTTAAGGTAATAATCTTGCACAATAAGACATTCACTGAGCAATAACTAGGACTATAACAATGTACTCTGGATGACAGAAGTTGCTCTCCAAACCAGGGACTGTTTTGTATTAATAGAAAATAACCACTACTATCATTATAATAGAGTCAAAACAGCTCAACCCTGTACTTTTCAAGAACTAGAGACTATTCACCAATTTTATGACTGTTTCCCAGACTTATAATCAGCATCTACACACTGCTGATCATGTATCCTAATACTGAAAAAAGAAAGATGCTGTTTCTCTAGAAGATAATAGTTTCTTATTTCCCCCTTCATAAACTGCATTAATCATGAGGAGATTTTAGCAGTAAATTTTGTAACTGATGCTCATCTCATGATCTGACAGAGAAAATAATCAAAATTGAATTTTCTCTCTGGCAAAATTTTGTCTATCACCAGAGTATGGAATACATGGAAATGGTTTACACAGGGTGTTTTTTATTTGTTTTTTTTGTTTGTTTTTGCAAATAGGTGGCTGTTTATGAAAACATGTTACATGTATTCCCCAAACTATTTCCTCAGACAGAAGATTGATCTGAAATAAAGGAATATGAGAGACTCAACTACTTGTTTTCTATGTAACCTCGCTTCCTTTCCCCTGTCATCAATTATTAGGCTCCACTTTCTATGATGGTCACAAGATAGCACTGATAATTTATAAACAGCTGTAAAAACTGCTATTTAGATTCAGAGTGACCAGGTTAGTAGCATGAGGGGAATTGGCTAACCCATTCATTTTTCAATGATGAATTAGCTTGAGTTCAATGAAATCACAAACTAAGAAAAATCACAAGGCTTCTTTGCAGAAATAAAGTCGCAATTTCGAAAGGGTTCCAGATTTTGATGAATCTGCTGCCACTATACAGAAGCATACAAATATGACAGCATTGGGGCACAGTTTTAATGAGTATCAATTCTAAAATGGAATTCCTTAAAAAAAAAAAAAGGGAATCTTGAGCACAGGTAGGGCCCAAATAAAAGGACTGCCATTTATTCTGACATCTTATCTCTGTCTCTTCCTGTCACATCCAGCAAATACTTTTAATATATTATTTATTTTATATTATCCTGAGTGATAAAAACCCACCACTTGGATGCAATTGTCAGAGAAGGAAGATACAGCTTCACCAGCCCAAAGGCATAATCCCAACCGGCACCTGCTTCCATTTGGAACCAGTTGCTTCTAAAATGTCTCACATGACATCTCATTTTTATAAATTCTTCACTCTCTCTTGAAATTCTCTATTTCAGTTGCCAATAAGAATTTAAAAGCTTTTGGAAGAAATATTCGTCAAAACTGACGTAACTGTGAATGACTGACACCAATCAAGAGAGAAAAAAATCACATAATGTATTAGAATTTTACTCACTAAACAGCTTCTACTCAGTCCATCTGCATGTAATGGGTATGCCAGAAATTGGACATGCCTGTAGATGCTTATAAGCACAGTTTGGCTTACATATTGTGCTGTTCCACACTGCTGAAAGATGAAATACAATTCTCCTGAAGGGATTTTACATTTTGGAAAAAAAGAAACTTATGTAATAGAAAAATTATAGATTTTGACCCTCAGGTGACAAGCTCCAAATCTGTATTCTCTTGTTTTTTTTTTTTTTTTTTTTTTTTTTTTTTTTTTTTTTTTTTTTTTTTTTTTTTGTATTTCTGAGCAGCAGTTGTCCTTCTTCTTAACCAAGGATGTGGGCCATAGGCACTTGGGACATTTTTTTCCATGAGGTACAAGTTCAGACTCCACCTGAGTCATCATCCTGACACCCTGGGGTGTGGTCTGGGCACGTGTATTTTGAAAAGATCAGTAGGTGATTGTGAAATGCATCCTTGGTTAAGAACAACTATGCTACATCTTATTTTATAGGTAAAAAATACTCTGACACACACATGTGCATACACAGACCACTGTAATTCTACTTTATCACTCACGGTGTTCTCTAAATGTTCTCCTTTGCCATCCCATTCTTCCCTCTGAATTTCTGTCTTTAAAACTGTTATGGAGCTTTCCATAGTCAGGTAATTCTCCTAGACAAATTTTACGCTAAGTCAGTATACTTTAGGCACTCATTTATAGGGGCAAGGTAGCTAATGAGATCAGCTACTCTCTCCAAAACAATCCATTTTAACACAGTCATAACAAATTATTTATTCGGCAGAGTCTGTCTGTTGGGGTAAAGACTGAGAAGAAGGAAAGAACAAGATGTGACCCTGCTGGGTTCAAGCTACACAGAGCTGAAATTGAAATAAACAGATAGGCAAGTTAAGTGACCACATAAGGCAGCATGTGATTCAGGGTTAAATTCCTAGTACTCTAAGGATGCAGGGGAAGCTATGCTCACTCCAGTCCCAATAGTCAGGCCCCACTTCGGAGAGGGCCTGCGATTTGAAGAATGGTGAAGTGATAAATGGGTAAGGCAGAAGAAGTTCCTTGCCTGGAACACCACACACAAGGCAGGAAGGAAAACAGCACGGGCAGTGAAAACACAGCCCTCTAGAAGAACGATGTGATTTAGGTGACTGACATCAAACAAGCAAAAGACAGACTGTAGTTATCAGGCTCAGGGACCTAATATTTATCCTATATTTTCTTTAAACCATCAAGGTTTTAAAGCATTAGAACATGGGGATAGTAGTATTTTAGAAAAATAATATGGGATTGTTGGTAGCAAACAAAATGTCTATGTGTATGCAAGATAAAAAATAAGGAGACGTATAATAGTATATTGGGCTATCATGGTGAATTTACAAAGAATTAATAGAACTCAGTGGCTGATTGACTTAAGTTTCCAGCCTATGACAAAACAGAAGCATAGAAAATAGGAAAAATGAAGTCAGGAGTAGAAGCAAATTAGAATTGCCAGTTGGAACTCGCAGAATGATGCCTTAGAAGAAACATCTGCACTGTACACATAGCTTTGGAAGAAGCTGGTGAGAGGAAATTATTTTAACACATAGAATGGAAGGTAGAGTAAGAAAAAACATGAAGACTAAATCTGGAGTGTCATTAACACGTTAACGACCACAGAGCAAACACAGAATAAATGATGCAAACAAAACACCTTGAAAAGGCAGGAGAATCTAGTGGCAACTCAGAAACCAAAGACAAAGAGAGTTTCAAAACAAAACTTCATTAATACTATATCATACAACAGAGAGGTCAAAGGCCACGGACACGGACCCAGTTCTAATCCCAGCAATCCCCTGTGCACCCCAACCCACAGTTGATCTTTTTCCTTTCATCTTTATTACTGACTATCCATACCAATCCTACAACACACATATCTGGTTATTTTCTAATATCTATCTTCCACCTACACATACTCGGATATTATGTCTTATTTCCATGACACTATCACAAAGTTTCTCGGGGGAAGAAATGATAATCATCGTTTATGCACCACCTCCTCCCCATCATTGTGTCTCCACATTGCCATACCACTAGCAATCATTTAGAAGCATTTTTAATTGATTACAATTATGACTGTCTTATTTATTGCGGTATACACATAATGACCTATTGAATTCATGGAGAAGACACATAACTGGTCTAGTGTTAGTACTTGCTACATAAAGTATGATCTAAAGACCAACAGCACCAGCATCACGTGGAAACTTGTTAAAAATGTGCCATCCCAGACCAAGTAAATCAGAGTCCGCATTATAACAAGATTCCCAGGTGACTGATGCTTATGCACATTGGTATTTGAGAGAAATTGGTCTAAACTCAGCATAGTAGGGGCTGGCACCAAGTTACCGAAGTTAATCGGAGGAAGGAAAGACGGCACATGAGTTTCAGCATGTAGACATGTGCTGAGACCCAACTTCACCCTTGCTTACACTCATGGCTCAAAGACAGGTCCCAGGCCCTTTGAATATATGGCAGGGCCAAGCTGGGAAGCAATTCTGGCATTTGACCAGGAGCCCAGATACATAAATCCTTCTCCTATAAACTGCCAGTAAGTTCACTTACTGAGAGGGCTTTGCTGATTGTATCTACCAGGTTGTTTTTCCAGACTTTATAAATATTCTAAACTCCTAAAGACCCTATTTATGTTCTCCATATTTACCCAGCCCTAGGAATTTGTGATATTTTTCTGCCTTCCATTCATTTCTCCTATAACATTAGTTTTCCCCCTAAGGATACAGTTACTGAAATACTTTTTTTACATAATTGAAAGCCAAAGCTGAAAATGCAACTTCAACCCCAAATAAAAAGGGCCTGCAACTAAGACAGCTACACTGAAGGCACTATTGTTTAAATGACCAGGTGTCAAAAAAAAAAAGCTCCCTAAAGAAGAAACTGAAGAACTATCAGAAGACATAGGAACAGCCACACCCAAAAGATAAAGACCACATGGGGTAATGACTCTCCAGGCAGATCTTCTTTTTATTTTGGGGATGTTCTCAATGTTTCAATATGTCTTTCTCTGGTTTTCCTAAAGGTAAATGCATGAAGTATCACTGCTTCAAAATAACACTGTGCTGGAAGAGCTCTCTGCACATCTTTTAATATTTTTAACAGCTTTACTGGTATATAATCTATACACCATATAAAAGGTTCACATTTCAGAGATGGAAGAGACTTCCATTCCACCCCCCACCTTTAAGCCATGCTTTACTAAACTCACCCAGAAATACAGTATAGCCATTTCTTAAAGCTCCAGGAATACAGAAGATTGTCATAATTCTCTGATAACATATGCTAATATCTCAGTTTTTATTAGTGCAAAGAACCTCTTGACTAAGTTGCCTCTATTAAAATTCAAACTATCCACATCTATAAAAGTAACGATTTTTAATGCTATATTTCAAAGACGGCTGATTGAAAAAAACATTGTAGATCCTTTTATAATATGCTTACTTTGCAGAAACTCCATTAGGAAGTGAACTTTATTTACTGTATCCAAAGTGGAAATCACAAATTCTTACATACTACTGTCTCCTGTGTTTTTCCCAAACTATTTTCTCACCAAATTGCAGCTTTTTAAGGGCTGCTGGAGCCTCCACAGATCTGTTATTTTTCACCTCAGGATTGGCATGGGTATTAGGTCTTTTATTTAAAAAAGAAAATCAGCAACTTACATGCTCTCACAGAACCTCGTCAGCGTACTTGGCTTCTCCTGATTACGTCTTTGGCGAAACCAGCGCTGAATGCTTCGAACATCCCAGTCCAGTTGCTTGGAGAGGCCTTCCAATCTCTTTTCATCAGGATGCTATGAAACAAGGAACCAGAAAAATAATTTTCAATCCATTTTTATTTTCCCCAAAAACAGATCTGCCCTTGTCTATATTCAAGGGGGGGGGGTTTCCCTATTGCTTACTATCTGCTACTGAGATTTCTATATTTACTACTGAGGACTGAGGCCTTCCACTAGCAGCATGAACAAAAATAACTACTAGGACAAAAGAAGTTCCTCATGAAACATTTAAAAACATGAATGTTGCTCTAATGCTTGCACTTCTCCTCATCAGCAATGTGCTTCCCGAAGGGCAACAAAAATTCAGTGGAATATCCAACTAGCTGAGTCAGCCCCATCAGTCTTCAAAGGAAGGGAGTCTAGTGAAGGTAAATTTGCAAAGAGGTATCATTGAAATATCTCGCTTTCTCAGAAAAAAAGAAAATGCTATACCCAATGATCACATATCAGAATAATGTAGTACAGACAAAAAGCATGGAAAAAATCTCAAAATGCCTCACTTAAGCCTAAGGTGCCAATTCTACCAAACACGGTTTATCTTTCTTCCCCATTCTCAGACCCTTTGTCCCCCATTCTTCACACATTGCTCTTCTATTCCTTTTCTTGGTCATCCCTTTTTAACCACATCCCATATCAGTTCTTTTACTAAGACTCTGCATTACTTGAAGAAAGTAAACTTTGTGAAGTGGCAAGAGACAGCCCTGAAAAGACAGGCTCAATCCACTGACCTCTCTGAGCCTCAGTTTCCTCATCTGTAAAAAAGGAAAGGTTGTTTACCAACCTAAATTATATTGCAGTAAGAACCAAATGTGAAACTGTATGTAAAACTCAGCAATGTTAAATTTCCTCTTTCCTATCTGATATGTTTGGCTGTGTCTCCACCCAAATCGAGGTAACTGAATCACGGGGGCAGGCCTTTCCTGTGCTGATCTCGTGATAGTGAATAAGTCTCACAAGATATGATGGTTTTAAAAAGCTGGATTTCCCTGCATAAGCTCTCTTTTCTTGTCTGCCACCATGTGGAACATGCCTTTCACCTGCCATGATTGTGAGGTCTTGCCAGTCCAAGGAACTGTAAGTCCAATAAATCTCCTTCTTGTAAATTGTCCAGTCTCAGGTATGTCTTTATCAGCAGTGTGAAAATAAACTAACACACAATGTTCAATGTTAACATTAATAATAATTAACGCCTCTCTTCAATGTGCTAGAGAATGTCTAGCCAACAATCACATAAGGGTGTTCTACTACACAACAAAACGAAGCCACGTGAGCTCCATTCCTTTATTTATTATATCTTTGCTTAATATTAACTACGTTTATTTAATCTTTCTTTGATTTGATATTAATGCTTTAATGTAAGCGATCAGGAAAAATAACCAAAAAAGGGGCAAGGAGAAGGCACACTGACCAGCCTTGAAGTTATAAGGGTGAAATATATAAATATATATAATATATTTATTATATATTAAAAATATCTTATTTCTAAAAGCAGCTCAACCAGCTCAAGGGGTCAACGCTATGGACTGAATGCCTGTGCCCCTCAAAATTTGCATGTTGAAACCCACATCCCCATTGTGATGGTATTAGAAGGGGAGCCTTTGAGAGGTGATGAGATCATGAGGGTGGAGCTCTCAGATTAGATTAGAAGTTATTAGAAGAGACATGAGAGAGCTTGCCCATGCTTGCATGCTCTCTCTCTCAATCTCTGTTCCCTGTGGATACAAGAGAAGATGGTCATGTGCCAAACAGGACGAGGACCTTCGCCAAGAACTCAACCATGTTTACATGCTGATCTCAGCCTTCCAGTCTCCAGAACTGTGAGAAATAAATATTTGTTGTTTAGGCCACCCAATTGATGGTAATCTGTTATGGCAGTCAGAACTGACTAGAACAGACACACACCAGCAAAACACAGTAAATGGCCCGAGGGTACAAAATGTGCTGTTCTTGTGCCTATAAATGTTATTTGCCAACTTTCAGTTGAGCATGTACTTTGAGGTTTGTTTTTTTTTTAGTAGTAATGACACCATCTACACTCACCTTTGATGTCTCTCTTAATCAAAAATACAAGAAGGAGAAAAATCATTGCCTAACAACACACCCTGGCAACACCATCATCTTAACAAAATTCATTTTTAATTTCAATTTATTTTCTAAGTGAATTAATAAAGAAAAAATTCATATGGGGCAAAAATTTAAGATTATCCAAAGTTTCACCTTCCAACTTTGTTCTGAGTCTTTCAATCCCCATTCTCCCCTTCTTACTAGATAACCACAGTTTTATTATTAAATCAGTTTTTTTCCAGTATTTATGCAAATATAAACAAACTTTAATACATATTATTGTATCTTCCCTTGTCACACAAATAGTTGCATATTACAGATATTTTTCTGGGCTTTGGGTTTTTCACCTTACAATATATACTGAAATATTTCCTATTCACTATATATAGAACACCCTCATTCTTTTGTAGAACTGTAGAAATATACCATAATTTACTTATCCATTCTGCTATTAATGGATATTTAATGGCTTCTGAGCTTGTTCTATAAACAATGCTACAGTAATTAACCTTACCTGGGCCATTTTACACGTTTCTCTCTGTGATAAGTTCCTGGAAGTCAAAGTTGTAGATCAACGGGGTCTATGCATTTGTAATTAATTTTGATATTGAAATTTATTCCCACTGATGATTTTACCAATTTATACTCTCACAAGCAAGACTGCCCATTTTCCAAAGCTTCTTCGATGGACTATAATATCAAACATTTCAATTTTTTTCAGTTTAATTCGTAACACAGAATCTCAGTTTCAATTTCCTTTTGAAGAGATAAGCATCTTTTCATGTGTTTCAAAAATCACCTATATTTCCATTTTTTAATGAACAGAATACTGACGTCTATTGCCTATTTTTTCATGATCCCTTGATATTTTCCTTGTTTATTTGCAGGGTTTCTTCATTTCTTAGGGTGGTTAAACTTGTCTGTACCAGAAGCTGCATATTATTTTCCAGTATGTCATTTGCATTTTAGAATTTGCTTTTGATGTTTTTTGCTTTTTTTACTTCCAGAAATTTGATAAAAAGATATTTGAATTTATCAATTTTTTGTTATAGTTTCTAAATTTGGAGTCATAATTAGAAAAGCCTCCCTCATTCCCAATGTTCAAAAGATTTTCCCAGGTTTCCTTTTCATAAATTTAGGGTTTTGATTTTTATATTCAAATCTTTAGCACATTTGGAATACATACTGGTATTCGGTATGAGGAATGAATCTAACTTTTATTTGTTTCCAGATGGCTACTCATATACCATTCATCTTTTCCCCCATCAAAAATCCAAATCTTTCTTCCGTTGGTCTATTTACTCATGTGCCAGTACCAGTACTATACAGTAAGTTTTCACAGAAATCTTTAAACTTTTTCTATATGAATTTTAGATTTAGCTTGTCTATTTTCAAAACAAACAAATGGTCACACAAGGAACCCTGTTAGTATTTTCACTATGATCATACGACATTCTAAAATTAACATAGGGTGAATTAATGTCTTCATTAGGTTTGTCTTGTGTCCTTCAAGACAGAAAATTTTCCTCATCCAGGTCTTGCACATACCTTGCTATGTTTATTCTTTCAGATATATAGATATATTATTCTTTCAGGTTTCTACTGAGATTAAGGTATTTTCTTACATCTTATTTTATTTTATTTTATTTTATTTTATTTTATTTTATTTTATTTTTTGAGATAGGGTCTAACTCTCTTGCTCATCAGGGCTCACTGCAGCCAGGATCTCCCCCCTCATGCTCAGATGATCCTCCCACCTTAAACTCCCAGGTAGCTGGAACTAGGTATGCACTACAAAGCCTAATTTTTCGTATTTTTTCTAGAGACAAGGTTTCACCCTGTTGCCCGGGCGGGTCTCAAACTCTGGGCTCAAACAATCTTCCTACCTCAGCCTCCTAAAGTGCTGGGATTAGCCAGCATGCCCAGCCTCTTAGATCTGTTAATGCTTATTATTTGCACACACACACACACACACACACACACACACACGCGTGCACACACATATATATGCTGTTGATATCTGGTTATTAACTTTGTACTAAAATTTTATATCATCTGTGATAGCTTTTCACAAGACTCCCTTTATTTTTCAAGTATATAATAATATAATAACATATTACTGAAATGCAGCCTCCATAAACAAAATAAATTTTTAGTATCTTTTTTTTACTGGTACCTAGATTATAGCAAGACTCAATAAATACTTCTTTAATGTATGAATAATTCTTCACAATAGCAATAGTTTTGCCACCTGCTTTCCAATTTTTATGACTTTATTTTCTTTCTCTTATTTGCTCGTTCAGTGTAAAATCTGGCACAATATAGGATAGTGCTTACAACAGGCATTCTTACCTGCTCTGGACTTTAATGGGAATACTTTTAATTTTCTTAAGGGTCCAGGTTTGGGACTAAGATACAAATATATTTGTCATGTAACAAAAACTACCTGTCCCACTTAGACAATTTATTTTAATCAAAAAGATGTCAGGTTTCAGCATCTATGGAGTATGATGTATTATTCTCATTATATATACTAATAAAATGAATTATATTAATAGATTTTTATATAAAATTATAAATAATTCTTTTAATGTGTTACTTGGTTCAGTTTGCTATTTTTTATTTAGAATTTCCTCATCATTATTAACAATAAAATTTGGTCCCTAGTCTTGCTTTTGTTTTTTAATGAAATCTTTGTCAGGCATTGATGTTAATGTCTTATTGCTACATTACAAGAGAAGCGTGTGGCTTTCTTAATTTTCTATGCTTTGATATAGTTTAAGAGAATTATCTCCTGTTAAGAATATGTTAGAATTTTTTGCGAGATGGACATATTGATTTACTTGACCGTTGTAATCATGTCACCACGTGTAAGTATACCGAAACATTGCATTGCATACCTTAAATATTTGCAAAAAACAAGGAGACAGAGCACATATAGTTTTTTATAT